CGTTAGTGACACCTCAGTCAGCAGGGCAGGGAGCGTGTGCAGTAGCCAGTTTCACTTGGAGACACCCAGCACGTGGTAAACCCCAACACCCGGCACCTGGGAAAGCTGCTCCAGCTCACAGCCCCCACAGGTGCCCAGGGAGTAGGGGGCAGCCTCGGCCTGCCATGCTCCTGGCCCTGGTTCACAGAAAAGACCTCACTTCAAACAATCCCACCCATGCATCATAGGACTGTCCACTGGAAACATATAATCTTATTAACCAACTAGAGGCCCAGTTCACGAATTTGTGCACGGGTGGGGTCCCTTGGCCTGGCCGGCCGTCAGGGCCAATTGGGGCCGATCAGGGCCAGCCGGTGGGAGGGACTGCAGGAGGTTGGCTGGCTGCAGGAGGTTGCCTGTGGGAGCACACTGACCACCAGAGGGCAGCTCCTGTGCTGAGTGTCTGGCCCCTGGTGGTCAGTGCACGTCATAGACCTGGGTCCACTCCTGCACACACCCAGGGGCGCTTCCCGTGGCCACACTGATGACTCGTTAAAACTGTAACAAATCTGCGTTCAGCCTCATGGCCAGGACCCTAATGAAAAGCTCTCTGGTTTCCCGGGGGAAAACTTAAGGACTTAAAAATGTGAAAATAAAAATGTAGCCTAAAGCATTTCATTAAAAGTATCCATCCGTGGGCACAATTACTGGAACCACGGATCTAAGTCTCAAAATCCTGCGTGCATTCCATAACTTTGGAAACGGTTTGCCCTTCAACTGATTTCCGCTAGAAGACCACGCCCCCGGGGGCCTGGGGCCAGGCGCCTCCCGCAGCAGCGCCCACAGGAGGCGCCTGCTGGCTCCAGACCGGCCGCCGGGATGGACACCATGATTCTATTAGACTCCGACCAAGGACAGTGCAACAACTGCCCAGCAGGGTTTATCATCCTCGTCATATTAACTTTGCACGTTCTGAACATCTCCTTCTCGGAAGAAACTCAATGATTAGGGAATATGTGAATTTTTTGAAAGGTCAGAGCTTTTCCTCGTTTTGCACAACCTTCATGGTTGTAAATCCCATTGGAGAAGTTCGAGGGAGAAAATGGCCAACACTTCAGGGTTCCTGTGGCGACGGCCCAGGGAAAGGTGTCCTTATGCCTCGTCCTTCCTACCTCTGCGTCTCATTCTTACTTGCCCATTTCTTGTTGATCTTTCCACTTGACGGCTTTCCCTCGGTCCCACCGATTCTCTTCTCTTTCCCGCCCACCTGTGTACTTTCCCTCCCACTTCTCTTTTTCTTCTCTTCCCACCCCTCTCTCCTCTCACTTTGATCTTTTTATATCCATTCCCCTCCTTTCCTGGCGTTTCCTGTCTTCATCCAGTAGAGGGAGACATCACTGCTCAACAGTTTCTCCCAAGTCACCCAGCTCGGCAGGATTTATTTCTATCCCAGAAGCCATTGGGAGTATTTTAATGTATCCAACCAGTTATATACTCTGGGGAAATAACAAGCCCCAGGATATTGGACAACGACAATTCATTACTCTGAACAGGAAACCGAGAAACTCGTGTTTTCATTCCAAAACAACCCCTTTACAAGTTCCTGTTTATCATATATAGGGTTGAACCACATAAAATCGCCCTTTCTTTTGGTCAAAAATCACCCCCATGCTGAGTCCTGACAGAACAGAAGTGGGATCACTCGTGAGCCTGTTTATGAAAAGCGCCCCCTGTTGGCAGCGTAACACGGATCCGTCTACGCGCCAGAGCGCTGGCCGGACCTGCAGGAAGTCACTGTGGTGGCCGCCGATTTACTGCCCCAACGCAGCATGTTTTACTTGCAGAGAGATTTATGGCTTCGGGTGCTCAAATGTTACAATTCAGAAGCACCCCAGAGATCATTTACTTTCTGTTTCTGCAGATTTTCAAATAAAATCGCTCATGTTGGAAGACGTTTCATTTTACCCTGACTTCGTGTCTGCGGTGACCCTCAGACACAGACTACATGCGCGCGCTTTCTAGGTAGTCTTTATACACATTAAGAATGAATGAGATTACTTACTTAGTTTGCTCCAATTCTGTCAAAGTATTAATGCTGGGCATTGTTCATTTCTGCCTGCCTATGGCGCTGTGTTCTGGGTCTCATGAATGCTCACTTACAGTTATAAAAACACCACAAACTTTAAAACCTACCTAAAATGTAGGCTGGGAGGAGAGCTTCCTTTTTGTTCTTCTATTAACATTACCATTTAAATCTGCTTAAGTTGTACTGTTCTACAATATTTGATTTTTCAGATTACGCACGGAGAGTTCTCTTGATTTACTAGTTGAGTAAATCATCCCACTGCTAGGTTTAGCCTTGTTTTGATACTGGATTAAGGGGATTTAGAAATCAGGTTAAGTAAATATATCAAATGATCTTCTAAAAAAACAAAAAGAAATCCCAACAACTAGGAACTATCTTTGTGGTTAGCACGTGATCCCAAAGGAACTTTGTAGCTACATAAACTGTGACCCGGACGCTATTCGCAACTTAAAATTAGGTTGCTAATCACCTTGAACTTTAATTTTAAGTTGACAATAGGTTTAAACATAAACTATGACCCAGGTGCTAGACAGAACTGAGACTGACCATCAAATGAGATACACTAAGAACTGGACCACGAGTGAGGTCACCACTGTGTACACATGCGCAGAACTTCAATACGGGGTAACAATGAGAGCCAATCGTGGGGAGAACAGGTGCTCAGGTGGCACTGAGGGGTCTGGAATTTCACAGGTGCTCACACGACAGAGGCTCTCCTGGCTACATGCACCATTTCAATGCTTTAGAGGCCACCTAGGTGCTTCCCTGTACTTTCCTCCTTGGGCCTCTGTTGTAGAGGGATGGCTGCTTAGGCATCACATACCTATCCCCAACCACAAATCTGAGAGATGGTAAGTTAACAGTGCACTGTCCTGTTTTGAGGAAATAAATAAGACCTCAGTGTTGGCTTGGATGCCAGGGCTCTCTAATTAGATTTGCCTAACCTTTCTATGCCGCACTATCATTGTGCTTCTCTAAGACCTAAAGCCTTTACTTCTCATTCCTAAAATAGCACCTATTTCCCCAGAAGCGCTTTTCCTATCATCCAGGAAGTACCTTTCGGATCTGGACTTTGGTCCTAAAATAAAATAATGTGTTCATTTCCTTCCTCTGCTAAATCGAATGCCTCCCAATGTCCCTCCTTCAAGGAAAGGTCTGGCTAGAGCGCTCATGCCCCAAGGCTATGCAGCATTATTATCCGCAGAGTGGGTAACAAAATTGTGCGTCTGGGCTTGTGGCAATGCCGGCTGCAACGCGTCCTCCAATCACAGAGACAGGCTTCTGTTCAAGGGATGATGCATAACCGATACTGGACTAGCATCCCTCTGTATATGGCGGGGAGGGGTGTATAAAACTGCCCCCAATAAGTGAGATAAACGATTTCCCATAAGGCAAACAGACAAAGGGAGACTGCAATCCTGAGAGAAGGGAACTCACAAGGCGAGGCCCACAGTCAGCCAGCTCTTCTGTTGGGGAAACATCCCCAACCAGGACGCCGGCTCAGGTCTGAGCAGGGCCCAGCAGCTCTGCGGAGTGGGGCAGCTGGGTCACAGGGCAGGCCCTGGAGAAGAGGATGCTGTGCAGAGAGAGGGGGAACCAGCAGTCCTCGTGGGGTCCCCCACGCGGCTGTGGCCACAGGCTCTGGTACACATGTGCAGTCTCCCCCCTGCAGAGGCTGACAAGACAGCAGCTGCAGTGGGGCTGAGAGAGGGACACAGATACTAGAGGGCGAAAGAAGTAGTGCTGGGGGCCACTGACCTCATGAACACGGCCAACACCTTGCTAACAGCCCTGCGATCCAGCGAGGGCCTAGGGAAGCTGTGCCTTAGGAGCAAGAATCATGCCCTACAGTGAGACCCTGGAAAGTTCAAGGTGATTAGCGAGTAGCTGAACTGCTTGCTAGAATGAGAATCAACAGCCTTCTAACGAAGATAACAAAATCCAGAGTCTCTACACTATTGTCCAAAATACGCAGTATTCAACACACTGTCAACAGACTTTCAGAGACAGGAAAATGTGATCTGGAGTCCAGAAAAAAAGCGGTCACCGGACATCAAACCCACGACAGCCCGATGTCCTTATCAGGTAACGACCTTAAGCTTCCCACCCCTGGCTCTTCCCCTCACCCAGTTACTTCCATTGTTGCCCAGTTGCTCAGAGTGGATACAATTGAGCTGGCTGGTCTTGCAGCCCATGGCTATGAGGGAAATAATAATAAAAGAATAACAGCTAATCCTTACACAGTACTTATCGGTGCTGGGCAAGATGTTAAGTGCTTTGCGTACATCAACTCACTCCTCATAGAAACCCTGGATGAAATAGTCCCCTGGACGAAAATTCTGAGAGGTTAAGTGACTTGTCAAGGTCACTCCTCTAGTAAGTGACAACCCTCTGGCTCTTCACACATGTAGTCCCCCTCCCGGCTTTGAGGGGGGCCGAGGGAAGGCCTGTTTAAGCCTGTGTCTGGCACTGGGAGGATGTCGCTGCACACCCGTCTGTCACGGCTGGAACTTCCGGTCCAGGGCGGTGCTGTATACCGGCTCCAGAGTGACCCCTGCGATTTTAACGTTTCTCTCTGACAGTGTCGTTCCTAAGGGCCACTTGTGTGGGCGAGTGCAGACAGAACAAAATGTCCTGGATCGCATGGGGGGGCGTGGCAAGGACTGATGTGTACACACTTTCTTCCAAAGAAGAGGAATCATTAGCAAAGCAAAGCAAAGCAAAACAACACAACACAAACGAAACACCACTCCCGACAAACAAACCTAGCAAGGCTGCTGGGGCTGGGCCTTGCCTCCCTGTCTGTATACACAGTGGACGGAGGCCACGGGCCGAGCGTCTCCCTGAGCCCCAGTGGCCGGAGGCTGCGCCTTCCCCTCCCAGTTCTCTGTGCTCAGAAGCCAGGGCCCAGGGGCCTCAGGCCTGGAAAGGCCTGTCAATCACGGGAGCTCTGCTGTGGGTGACTCAGGGCCACGGAGGGCAACAGCGTCACGAGGCCCCATGCCCGGTCCCTTTCAGAAACACGGAACTTCTTCAGGGAATCTGGTCCAGATAAAGCTGGGATTCCCGGTGCCCGCAGAAAGCCCCCCCGCCCTGCCCCCAAGTCTGCCACCCAGAAACAAAGCCCGCCTTTCCATGCGCGGCCACACCTGCAGCCCCTTGGAGAGACTCCCTCAGCCTTCGCTGGGAGAGAATGAACTCTGGTCTGATTATTCGCACTCAAGTCTAAGATTTGGCTGAAAGTGAGGAACTGGCAGTGCCATCCATGGCACACTAAAGGGGGGTGGGATCAGAACAGACTGAGCAGAGGGACAGAATGGGGCCTGGGCGCCCTCCAGCCACCCAGCCCTGCCGAGGGCAGCTGGATCCCGTCCCCCAATGACACTGTGGCCTGTGCAAGGGGACTTTCCATCACCAGGTGCCACAAGCTGTTTCTGGAAGAGATGTTGTGTGTCCTTCTCCTTCACAACCCCTAACACACCTGTCACTCGGCGGCCACAACCCCTTCCCCTTGCCCAAGCCCCCCAGTCCCTGGTGTCCAGGAAGCTTTGAAGGTGCGCCTGGTCTAGGGGCGCCCAGTCTAGGGGTGCCCAGTTTAGGAGCGCCTGGTCTAGGGGCGCCTGGTGTAACTGGGTTAGCGAGCACAGAAGCGTAAGAGAACCCTTCCAGGGTGTTGCCCTGCAGGCAGCTCCTACCATGTCGCTCTGCGAGGCGGTGGCTCCGTACGTGGCCAGCCCGTTGGAGGGCGCGGCTGGCTGAGGCGTGTCAGGCTGGACGTACCCTCTTCTGTCAATGAGGCTACAAGAGAGAACACAGCAGAACAGGAGGAGAGTGAGTAGAAAGCTGAAGACGCCATCAACACTGTTTATTTCTACTTGGGGGGTCCCTCTTTCTGTGCAGGGAGCTGAGTGTGGGTCTGCAGCTGTCCCTGGGAAACGGGAACCCCCCCCCCCCCACCCCCCATGAGCACATTGTCACACCGCGTAGGAATGTCTTAGAGGCAACTCCAGTGCACGGTCCTGGGCACACAGCTACTGCCACTGTTAACGTCATTGTTATATCATCACCACAACCGCCACTGCTTCAGGCCGCACGCATCGGCCTCTAACTATTTTGGCACTGACCTTCTATACAGCTCACTCTTAACTCAGTTCTAGAGGTTTTCTAATTGCTTCCTGCATCGTGTCCTGGTTCCCTTGCTGTGCTGACAGCTCCCTGCTCCCCACTGACCCACAACAATAATTCATGAGGTCACATGCCTCAGTTTCCCTATTTGACCCTGAGGGGATTTTCCCCAAACCTGACACAAATTCATTGGAAGAACCAAGAAGGTGTCAAGTGCAACACAACAAACAGCCAGGTCTCTATTTCACTGAGGCCGTGCCCCCGTGGCACCAGAGGACGGTGTGGCCTAATCCACCCGCAGCGGCCACATCTCTTCCCCAGTGGGGCCTGTGCTCCCTCATCTTAGGCGTGTTCTAGGGCGTGTGCTAAGGCGTGTTCTAGGGCCTGTGCTAGGGCGTGTGCTAAGGCGTGTTCTAGGGCTTGTGCTAGGGTGTGTGCTAAGGCATGTTCTAGGGCGTGTGCTAAGGCGTGTGTTTTCGGAGTCTGGTGAGGAGCACCCTGCTTTCTGAACCTCACCTTGGAGAGACGGGCCCACACAGCGCAACACAGCAGTTCGTGAAGATGTTTCCGTAGCTGTAGGGGTTGTAATTTTCTTTACCTCTTTTATTTGACCAAGATCCTTTAATCTGAAAGAAGACAGTAACACAGCATCCTTCACACCAATGCCACAGTTTGAGCGACTAGACCACGAGAAGTCCATGGGAACGCAAATCATCTTCCCTCCGTCTTCGGCAGGGGGATGGAGATGCTGCTCTCAAGGGAAACTGGCATTTGTGCCCAACTTGGGAATACCCCCAAACAGCAGGTCAGATTAGGGAGAACGTATTCTCTGGGGACGAGCTCTTATTTCTGCTACGTATCGCCAGAGGCCGCTCACATGAGCCACGCGATCCGGTCACGCTCACATTCAGTGCTAAAATAGCCACCAAGTGAACGGCAGCGGGAGGGGTACCGTGGCCCCTGATTGCCAGTTTAGAGCCCGTCTGAATTTGGGCTCAAGGTGTTGCCAAAGTAACTGTGCAGATTCTAATAGTCACAGTTACCAAATTAAATAACTGTTCATATTCTTGCATCTCATCGGTGCTGGTTTTCTCGAGCCTCTACGGCAAGTGGAGCGATTCAGAGACATGGACTGATACTTAGAGCAGAGAGGAAAATGAAGAAGCATTTTCCAACAGAACGTGTCTTGTTTTGCTGCCCCCTCTCCATCCGCATGAAGTAGAGGCAGGTAACCCTGCGCAAAGGTTAAACTTTGGGTCTGGCCAATCCCCAGAGCTGACGTGGAGACGTTAGCTAGGAGGCAGGCCCCACGTTCACCTGCGATGCCACCTGGCCCGTCTCTCCTTGGGCTTGGTGGCGAGGGGCTCACATAACCACTGAAGAGGAACAGGACAGACCCTGGCTCCTAACCTCTTCTTTCCCTCCCGGCCCCCTCCCCACCACCTTGGTTCCCGAACACAAAAGCACAGCGCCAGCCCCGCGTTGAAGGAACTCACGTCTTCATTGGTCGTCTGGTTGGAGCTGATGAGATACGTGTGGAACCCCAGGAGCCCGACGATGGACCAGACGGAGAAGAAGCACACCACGGCCTCCAGCACGGTGACCGAGTCAAGGACGGGAACTGGGGGATGGAGCTCTCGAGTGCCCGGGGGCTGCAGTGGCTGGAGGCGTGGACGGGACACCACGGACACTCACTTAGGCCTCGAGCGTCTATCTAGCCTCCCCTGGTGAGCTCCCTACCTGGAGGGGCACCTGGGACAGGCCCTCCCCCACATTCTCCCGCCGCCTGCACAGTAAATGACGGATGGGCTCCCTGCACGCGACCTGCTGCCTTCTCCACGGCCTCGGACTGTCCTCCCTGCCTGACCTCCTCGCCTTTTCCTGGTGACTCACACTGTGAAGCCACCGACAGCTGCACCGGAAAGCGAGCGGCTGGAGCTGGCAGCGGCCCCCGCCTTCGCCTTCGAGGGAAGAACTCCACATTGAACATCACTTCAAGCACAGACTCTCATTTTGGCTACTGAGCGCCGAGGGCTGTGGTGCCAACAGGTTTCTCCCTGACCTGAGGGCGAGGCTGTGGGGGACTTGTCTCGGGGTGACCATGGGTGGCTGTACCGGGTGGGGTTGTCCTCAGGGCTCTCTCCCTGGGCAGCCCTCCCACACCTGGGTGCTGCCTGCTCCCACCTGTGCGTGGGCTTCTCAACCAGCGGGGGCATTTCGCAGACTGGCTCGGGGTGAGGGTCACTTTATTTGGGGACGCTCCCCCCGCCCCTCAGCCAGGCCTGACACAGAAGGCTGGGAGCCCTGGAGGCTCACCGGTGTTGGGTGACGGGCAGATCCGCAGGTGTTACAGCCACAGCAGGAGGAGGCTGTGTTCTTCAACAGAACAGATCATCGCCAAGGGTGGGGCAACGTGAAAAGACTAGAGGATTTTTCTGTCCCACAAATGTTTATAAAATTCTATTTACAAGATACAGATGTTTCTCGGGGGAAAAATAATTCTCACAGGCCTGGGAGTTTCAGTCTGTACCATGCATCCCCAATAATGAATCACAGGCCAGAGAAAAGAAATACTCAGGCTTCCTGATGCTCCCACATGTGGAAGCCACAGGTCGTACTGTGACAGAACCACTGATTTTCTTCAGGATTGGAGGTAATTCCCCTTTAGACCAGAGACATGCATACACTCCCCAGGACAGCGCCATGATCTGCCACGTCACAGTGACTGCGTGCCCGCCAGGGACGGGCTGCCTGGGGAACAGGAGAAATGAGGGGTCCAGCCTGCTAACCCACTGTCAGCATCAGGACACGCCGCTGGGCTGCTCCGAGAGGTGGACAGCGCTTCCCTTCTCCAAGGTCTGAACCTCGAAGCTGGGAGTTCACAGAGAGGCAGCCCTGAGTCAGGAGGACCTTTCGGGGGGAGTGTCCCCGGGCGGGCTGGCCGAGGGGGACAGGCGGGTCCTCTGGAGTCTAGACTGCCAGCACACGATGTCCCGGTGGCCCCGCTGCCCTCACGGAGGAAGGAGGAGAGGAAAACCCAGGTGGTGTTTTGGAAAAGCAGATAGACGTGGCTGGTAAGGCGTAAACATGCACAGGTAGGAGGGTCAGCGGGGGAATAGAGAGATGCAGAGAGGTGGACCCCTCCCCATCCATGTTTGTCTGCTTTTCCCTGGGCAGCCCGGCAACCCCTTCCTTTCTCCCAGGGCTGCCTCGGTGGCAAATGGTTACGGTGGGAGGTCTGGTGTGCACCTGGGGACACGTGGACAGTGGCCTATGTGCCGAAGATGGTCTCATTCTCACTGCCTTCCGACAGGTCACTCTCGCAGGTGCCTCTTCTAACCCCATCGGACACCCAAGAGGGGCAGGCTGAGGGGCAGCCTGCTGGGAGCCATGCCCCCATGTGTGAAAGCAGAGGCGGAGTGGACGCCAGGGACAGCGAGGAGGCCAGGGGCCGGCAGCCGGGAAACTGGGTGTCCAGGGAGGTGACGCTGGCAAGGAATTTGCAGAGGCTGGCGGTAAAGCCAAGAGACAGACACATGAAACCAGCCAAGAAATGGTCACGGGTGGAAAAGAGAGAATAAAAAAAGGAAGCAAAGACTTTTCACCGAACAACACGTGACGAGCTGACCTCAGAAGTGCTCCGTGTCCCCAGAAGTTTACTTCCAGGGCGGCCGACGGCCATGCCCAATACACACAACATTCCTGTGTGCGAACCATGGGAAACTTCGAGTGGGGGTGAGGGACAGCGGCGAGGGTGGCTGCCGCCCAGATCCTGTCCCTTTGCAAAGTCGCCTCTATCGCCACCCCACAGGCAGGCACTGTTTTCCGGTGGATGTGGAACTTTAAAGGTTTAGCGCAACAACAAAATATGCAGCTTTCTATATTAGTATCTCGTGCCTTAGAAACGTTTTATAAATAGCAGAAGGCAGTCTCCCCATCAGCTCACTGCGGTGTCAAAATGACACGATGCAAGGTGGGGTGTAGACCGCGGCCCCCTCCAGCTCCTCCCACAGCTGCTCTGAAGGGAAATCACCACCTTTCCTGCCCATGGCTGGCATCACGGTCACGTGCCAGGTGCCGGCCAAAGGCCTCACAGGGACGCACTTAACCCTCAGATCAACCCAGTGAGCAGCACAATTCCCACCTGACACCGAGGGAAACTGAGGCAGGAAGCAGTTAAGAATTTGGTTAAGCAACAGCAGAGCTAGGCTTTGAACCCTGGGTGTGGCTCCTCTAGTGCGACGCCCTGTGGGCTGGCTCCTCTCTTCGTTCTTGCTGGGGCAGGCGGCTTCGGCTCCCCGTCCCCCCTCTGCTGGGGAGTCCCTGTCAGGGTCCTGAACCGGCGGCCTCTGCAGGAGCCGGCCCCGCACACTCACCCTGACTGCGGCACCGACACCTGACGACACACCTGCTCCCTGACCCTCACAGACGCTGTCTATGCCAGAATAAGAATGATATGAATTTCTCTGAAATGTATAAAAACCCATGGACTGATTTTTAAAAAAAGAGAAATGAGAGGAAACGTGCCAACTCAGAAAAAATGCACACAAACAACAAACGCATTTTTCTTATAACTTCAGGCGGCTTACAAACTCCCCCGACGCAGGTCCACGGACACACACTGACCCCACGGGAAGATGTCCTGGTTTGTTCTAACCCTTTCATCTTACAGACTGGAAGCTGAGGCTCAGAGTCCTCAAGCCTCTTAGAAGAGCTCACAGAGCAGTTCACGGTGAAACAGCTAGAACGTGGTCTCCCAGACTTCTGGGGGAGAGAGAACCTCCCAAGGCCACCAACAAAGACACACTGACCAGCGGCCCCGGAGGGTCCGTCCTACCCATCACACGTACATCCTCACTAATGAGCAGGACTTCGTGTTCTTCTAAGCACATCACGACCCGGTAGAACTAAAGCATGCTCTTCTGGAATACACTTTCATGAGGCAGCAACACAACTCACCACTTCTCAACAGCGTCACTCCACACACAGGGGCATTCTCCTCCAAAGCAAGTATTTCCACAGGAAACAACCGCCAGGACAGGGGGCCGTTGTCAGTCACCACTGCCCGGGGGACAGGGGTTGGTGACACACATGAAATATTAGAGGGCTTTTTAATGAAAAAGCCCAGCCCCTCACTTTTAAACATGGACATGCTCCTGAAATCCTCCTCTGCTTCCAGAAAGAATAAGGAAGACGAGGGCTGGGAGCGGCGCCCAGACCACTCACCCTCCTGCTCTGCCCCTCGGGCACGGGCAGCTCTGCCGTCGAATTTGCCTGACCCTCGCTCTCGCCTCTCATTTTCTCTGGGAGAGCGATGGGGGTTTTGTCAGACTCTTTTGTGTTGGCTGAGGAGCTGCCTGGGATATTTTGGCTTCGGTGTTAGGTCACATTTTTCCAGGCAGGAGCCCAGCATGACAGTGGGTCAGGAGATGCCACAAAACCAGTGGGACCGAATCAGCAGGAGCAAAGCTACAAGGATAATAATCCCTGTAAACTGTGCTGGTTCAGTCTTCATGGGGCCTCTGTTACCATTTTCAACTTGAACTCAGGGAAGGGAAGATAGATCTATCTATCTATCTATCTATCTATCTATCTATCTATCTATCTATCTATCATCTTCTTATGTGTCTGTGTGTATAAACATACATTTTTACCCATCCTTTTTTGTCTCTCATCCTGTCTCTCCTGAATTAACAGAAAGGGCAGAACAGGGGAGGGAGGTCAGCGATGTAGACTCAGAAGTGACCGGGCACCTAGTCAGCTGCATGAAGGCCTGAGGGGCAGACAGAACAAGGGCCTCCCCAAGGATGCCCAATCCCTGGCACCTGAGAACACATTACCTACCAGTCAAAAGGGGGTTCGTGGATTGTAGGTATGGACCTTGAGATGGGAGGTTACCCAGAATGATGAGGGCGGGGCCCGTCTGCAAAGGCAGGGAGGTTCTGGCTGAGGTCAGAGCGATAGCAGAAGGGAAGGAAGGAGAGATTCAAGGTGTGAGAGGGACCTGATCCGCTGTTGCTGGCTTTGCAGAGAAAAGGAGCCGTGAGTCAGGGAATGCATCAAGGAATGGGGACCTGTCCTGTTCCCCAGCAATTCAGCCAGCCCCCGCGTGAGTCTGGGAGAGACGCTCCCAGGGCCTTCAGGTAAGAGTCCAGGTTGGACAACACCTGGATTTCAGCCTGTGGGACCCGGAGCAGGATCCAGCCGAGCCCACTGGACTCTGACCTGCAGGGCTGTGTGACAATACATTCATGCTGCTTAAGCCTCGAAACTGTGGCTCTGTTACCGCAGCCACAGGAAGCTCACACAGCCAGCAGTGCTGCGAGGGGCCTGTCATGCACTCAGGGCAGGTCGAGGCCACCAGGCTCCTGAAGGTGAGGCCCGGCTTAGGAAACAGCCTCGAGGGACGGCATCAGGCTGAGGGGAGGGTCCGAAGTGCGATGTGGCAACACCGGAAAGACAGTGGCTGAGGTTCTGTGAGTTTTCACACCGGGCCATGGGGAAGCTCTTCACCTCCGCCTGAGAATGATCTTCCGAGAGAAAATAAGCTAAAATTTTGCTCTGGACCAAATAGGAGCATTCCCTCCCCCACACCCCACGTGAATAGTTTCTGCAGCAAAGTCGGCCGATACATCGCCACTCTTTCCTTCCTTCCTTCCGTCTGCAGCATCTGCCTCTTCCCCTCGTGGGGCACGCACTGCACTGGACTCTGCAGGCTCTGAGCACAGCCAGACCGTGAGCAGCAGACGTGAGCTCTGGCGGGAGGCCTGGCAGAGCTGCCCGCCGCAGCAGGCGCCTCCTTGCGATCACTCCTCGCACGCACGTGAGCAATGCTTTGGCACCGGGCATGCACACATACATCCCAAAGAGTTGATTTTGTTGGCGTAGCACTGTCTAGTACGGAGTGGTTGACCACTGTAACCAACAGCCACACATTTAGGGGCTTCAAGCAAAGCCTAAAGCAAAGAACTGAGACACAAAAGGGTTTGAAGAAATGAGCGAACCTCGTAACTGGCTGTGATGGAGCAGGAGGTAAAGTACATACGGGTCATCTGTACGGCCCAGAGGAAGGCCAAACTCACCCCAGACAGAATCCAGACAGAGGCTCACGGGGTCCCCTCTGGTGGCCGCCCACAGAGACACCCATAAAGATTCTGTAGGGACGCAGCCACACATTTAGGGGCTTAAAGCAAAGCCTAAAGCAAAGAACTGAGACACAAAAGGGTTTGAAGAAATGAGCGAACCTCATAACTGGCTGTGATGGAGCAGGAGGTAAAGCTGTTACCCGTCTAGGACTTGCTACCGGTCTTTCCTTACGACTCACCCCAGGACGGTGAGGTGGTGAGATCCTCCCTGGGTGGGGAGGTGTGCAGTGGACGGCACACACCCCTCCCAACAAGCCCAGCCACACAGCTGCGCTGCTCAGTGGGGGGGTGTGTCTGCAGATGCCCACGACAACCACATGGAGCAGCGGGCAGCCCGAAGGCCCCGGGAGCGGAGCAGCTGAGCTCCCTCAGTCTCCCCCACAGTGAGGAGTCCCTGTCACTGACGTCAGTCTGCCCCAGACTGAGACGTATGCAGGTGATGTGTACGTCATCTCAGTAAAGTTCTTTTCTTAAGAATTCTCTACCACGAGATGAAGACTCCTGGGAATATCGGGGAGTTCAAGTCCAGGCCACCTAGTTACCTGGGCCCAGACGGAGCGGTCAGTGGGCTGGCTGGCGGGGGCCACACCAGTGAGTGGAAAACCTCAGTGGACAGGAGAGTGGGAGCCCACGCAGGAACTTAATGGGTGAACATCTGCCTTTCACGAAGTTGAAAATACTATGGTACATGCCCATATATACTGAGAGGATGGGACTCACCCACATGACTTGGGAGTGACCATCTTTGGTCCAGCCAGGGCTGTGAAAGGTGTTCCGTTTCTGAAAGTACATACGGGTCATCTGTATGGCCCAGAGGAAGGCCAAACTGACCCCAGACAGAATCCAGACAGAGGCTCACAGGGTCCCCTCTGGTGGCCGCCCACAGGGACACCCATAAAGATGCTGCAGGGACCACCCGCTGATCAGAACGAAGCCCGTTTGTAGCTTGCAGCCTCACTTTTCCCCAAACCAACCTGATGTAACCCAATCGTGGGGGTTCCTGGGGTGAGCAAGATGCACACTTGCTTTCTAGCTAAAGAGCACGTCAACCAAAACTGGGCGCAATGCGCCACTCGGAGCTGGAGCATTCGGACGCCATTCCTCATGCAGGTGGACGTCAGGGAGTTCTCCGGGAGCTTTACGGGACAAAAAGAATACGATTGCCGGGAAGACAAGCCAAGGCACGGGGTGAAGGGTAACCGAGGAGGTCGGTCCAACGCGTAACGCCTGAGCCTTTCACACACCACACCCACAAAGGATATCTGGCGGGACTGTCCTTAATCGCATTAAGGAATCCTGTTTGCTGTGAACCTGGGGGAACAAAACCAACATTTAGTATTAAGACCAACACTTAGTATTCAAACATTCACCTCCAGAAAAACAGCCTTCATGCGGAGCTCTCTCATCTGCACGGAAATAATCGGTGTCTCAGGATCAATGCAATAACTGTATCGTGTATGTGCTGCGGCACCAGGGCACGGAGCCTGGATGGCGATGCCACTGAAGTTACTCAACAGGAAAATGGCAGATTCACGAGAGGCAACAGCTGCAGGATGATTTTTTCAGTCAAAGCAGATGGATGTCTGCATCCTCGCCCATAAATTGTAGTTCTGATGACTCCTTTGTTCCCCTCATTTTAATAGGAAAACAGAATACTGCATGGGATTTTTTTTCTCTTCTTTCATGAAAGACTGTTTTCCCAGGGTTTGTTAACTCCTGACCCTGGAGGTCGTAGGAATGAGGCTACGTATAAAATACGTCTTTCTCTGCGCCCAGAGTACACACACGCATAACGCTGAAGTCTACTACTGGCTCCTTTTGGGTTTAAGACGTGTTAATGTTAGCTGTCTGTGCCAGAAAACATTTTTTCTAAGGGCTCGAGTGAAGATGCATCTGACGAGAGGCAATCTTTAGTTTATAAATTGACATTATGGTTTCTGTGACTCACAGCCCATAGGAGGAACTGTGGCTTTTCCACTGTGGGGGTGATGTGGGTCCCTGGTGTACTGCGCAGAGCCCTGTGTTTGGGGACATGGTGTGGCTCCGGGACAGCCATGAGATGACCAGGGAGGACTGACAGAACAGGATGGTCCTATGCATTCCTGCGGCACACGGGGCTGGCGTGGCTGCAGCGTGGGAGTTGCAGGCAGGGTCCCAGGCCCCGCCGTGTGCGTGGAAACCTGTCCAGCGATGGGAAGGCTGTGAGTGGACGGCTCCACGTTCTTCCTCGAGTTCCCATTCCCTCTGTGCGTCCTCCCTCCTCTGTGCGTCCTCCCTCCTCTCTGCGCCCACTGGCCACCTCAAGGCATGAGGAAGTGCCTCGTGAACTAGGATGCCAGCCCGTGGGAGAGCTAACAAGGAAGACTTGGGGCTCCTCTTCCATCCCTGCTAGGGCCATAGGGCAAAACCCGCAGGAGGACATGGCAGGTCTTCGAGCAAACACAACCTTGAGCAAGATGAGACCCGAAGCAATGATTTCTCTGTCCCTCCTGGACCCAATGTGTATCACTTTCCCAAACTCTCCTTCTGTGAGAATTCCAGACCTCGCCTTGTCAGGGATCTGCGATAACAGATCCTCACCCCACTGTACCCTCCCAGCCCCGTCCCCCATGACCTGGCAGGGAGAACTTGGGTGACAGCTCCCCAGCTGCAATCTTAGGCGGTCGTGGGGGCTAAGATCAAGCCAAATGGGGGTGGGGTGGGGGTGTTGGGGTGCAGAGCAAGAGGAGAGGAAAAGCATTATTTGCGTTTGTACAATCCATTCGGGTAACTTGTGGACAGATCCGTTCCAAGTGCTTTTTGTGTGGAGACTGGATTAACAATACACAAGCATGAAGCCACAGCAAAACTGTTTTCTGAGCTCGGGTGAGTGAAGTGTAAAGGAGGTGACAGTGAAATGTACATCACAACCCGCTGTGGTCAGGTGGTCAGGCGGGGCCTCCGTGTGTGTGTGTGTGTGTGTGTGTGTGTGTGTGTGTTCCCAGAATTATTTGTGTGTGTGGCTGAGCAAATAAAAACGGGCCCTTATTATCCAGAATGTCAGGGCAAGGCCATACATACAATGTGATCATATATATAGGAAAGCATTTTGAGGCTACTAAAGATGACAGGAAAATGTAATGTTTAGCCTTAGCTGGTTTTGCTCAGCGGTTGGAGCGTTGGCCCATGGACTGAAGGGTCCTGGGTTTGATTCTGGTCAAGGGCACGTACCTTGGTTGCAGGCTCTATCTACGGCCCCTAGAGGGCAACCAATCGATGTGTCTCTCTCACATCGATGTTTCTCTCTCTCTCTGCCTCCCCCCTTCCCTTCTACTCTATCTAAACATCAGTGGAAAAAATATTCTCGGAGGAGGATTAACAAAAAAATGTAAAGTTTAAACACGGTTTTGTAGTGTCATAGAAAGTGTGCTGGAGCAGCACATAACTCTCCACAGGTGTGTACGCAATCGCGTCTTCTCTCTGATTCTTTGGGCTGTTTTCACAGACAGGATCCCGGCTGCTTCTGCCATTATCCGGCTGAAAACTGCAGAGCCACATTGGCATCCCCGCAGGCCGCGTGGGGGTGGCCTGAACGAATGTCACCCCTGTTCTTGCAGCCCCGCCAAGTGACGGCATGGCGCTCAGGCATATGTTACAAATCCGTGTCACCTTCAGATGGAGGGATTTCAGTAAGAAAAAATGGGAACTAGGATTTAAAATGCTGTTGAAATTTTGGGGTCCTCCATTTAATGTCCAAAATTGACCAATATCTAAAAAGAACTAATGTGAGTCCGACTGGCATGGTTCAGCAGTTGAGCGTTGACCTATGAACCAGGAGGTCATGATCGATTCCGGGTTGCGGGCTCGATCCCCAGTGTGGGGTGTGCAGGAGGCAGCCGATCCATGATTCTCTCTCATCACTGATGTTTCCATCTCTTTCTCCCTCTCCCTTCCTCTCTGATATCAATAAAAATATATTTAAAAAGAAAAAGAAAAAGAACTAATGTGAAACTTTCTTACCATCCTCTTCCCTGGGCCCATACAGGCCCACACAGGCCCACACGGCCCCCTGGAGAGAAGGGAGGAAACAGTTCTGGCTGCAGCCTCAGTGCACCCCCTTTGTGGTTTGAGAGCTGCTGCTTGGGAAGAAAGTGAGGCATGTACTCAGATACCTTCTAGAACATTCCAGAAAGAGGCTCTGTACTTGCTAATGGGTGGCTGTCCTTCAGGAATGCGGACAAGAGGCCCCGCTGGTCTTTAATGTTGCTAATGGCACTGTAATGGGAGTTTAAAGGCTTAAATTTATAGTTCAAAGCCAATTAACTTCCTTCTCATCACTGCCTATTGTAGGAAAGTAAAAGGCCAAGAGACAAAAGAAACAGTTACGGCCTTCAGAATGGGGAATGAAAAATGCCGTTTGCTTAGGCAAATACATATATCAAAGTTCTTTACATCCAAATCTCATTTTAATCAGGTTGCTTCCTTTCAATGCCCGCCGTAGCTTCCTCATGTTCCAGCAGATAACTGAACATCTTCTCCAGTGTGTGCCTTTAACAGGTAGCTCTGTGCGCAAGAAAACCCAGGCTTATCCCCAGACACCTTTTTCTAGGGAGGTGACTGCTCTGCTTAAGTAGACATCACATTAAAAAATTAAAAAGCCTGGTAATTAGTGCAGCACAATATCCTTTGAGAAAATGTGGGGGTGATTCTTCCAGGGGACCCCCTAGCGGACGAGAAAGTGCAGTCACTGAGGTGGGAATAGGGGCAAGTATCAAGGAAAAAGTGGGGAGCCTGCCCCAGGTGTGACCAGGCAGCTGCCCCTGGAAGGATGGGGGATGGGGAGTGGAAGGAGGGGCTGAGGTGGGAGGGAGGAAAGCAGAAGCAAATGGC